TGATAACATAGCCTATGTCAGTTTATAGTTTTTAAAATTATGTGATTATAATAATAATTATTATATGTACATACATATAAAAACATGCTAGAAAATTAATTTTTAAAATAATACTTTAAAAGTTGATAACTGTTACATAGTAAGATATATTGTATTTTTCACATTACATAAAATATGTATGATTACTAAATCGTTTTTCTTTTCTAGCAATAATTATAGCATTAAAACTTTTACATTAATACATCAAAATTATAAATTCAGTTACATTTTACTTATTTTGGCATATATTTATAGATATATGACTGTAAAAAGCTAATAAAGTGGAAAAGCTAATAAGATGTGCTTGAAGATAAAAAGACGAATAATTATTTTTGCGTTGCATATTTTAGACACAATATTATGATTTGCCTGACAATATATATATATATATATAATGCATATATACACAAGGTATTAAAAAATAAATATGATGCAATAAAGTTTTAGTAAAATCGTATTACTCTTCAAGATTGCACTAGGAATCCTTCAGGTATATTAAAAGAGTAACAAATTATGTATATACAAACAATTAATATTTATTAATTCAATATTAAAAGTATAAGCTGTTTTTGTTCCTTAGATCTTGTTGAACGAAGCAATATCTACGGATTGAACTAATTCCTCGAATTCTTGAATCTGTTCAATCAGCAAATCCACTGATACTTTCTCGTCTTCTATCACACACATTATTTGTAACTTGTTTATGCCATAACCCACTGGGACAAGTTTTGCTAAAAAGAGAAAATTCATTTATATAATTTGCTTATATCGATTTAGATATGTATATCGATAGAGCAATAAAATATACAACTTACATGCACCCCAAACTAGACCATCCATTTGAATCGATCTCACTGCGTTTTCCATTTCTTTCATATCGGTTTCATCTCCCCAACTCTTCACGTCCAGTACAATACTCGACTTGGCAATAACTGTGGGCTTTTTTGATTTTTTCTCTGCGTACGCCTTTAACCTTTCTTCTCTGATTTTTGCAGCTTCTGCATCCTCTTCCTCGTCTGAACCAAATAGATCTAAGTCGTCATCATCATCATTTGCCTTTCCTGTGGACGAAGCTGGGGCACCAACACTCAAGATGGCAGGTGCTTTTTTTTCTCCAGGAAGTAATTTCAAATCATATGATTTTATGTGATTATACCAACGGAGTACATGAGGATTTGAAGATGTCGGTGCTTTCCCCAGTGCCTCGAGTACCGCAACATCGGCCTGAGTTGGTTGCCACCTATTGAGCATAAATTCTTCTGATATGTTATTTTGTAATGAAGTTGATCCTTATTGTATCAACTTGCACATTACTGAATTTTATATATTACTGAAAAATACATTTCCTTTACAATACTTTGAACACAAATTCTTTTCTAATACTGCTGCAATCTCATTAGTAGGTTATCAATAGATAGATTTAATATAAATTTTTTAAATTTTATTATCATTCTTATTATAAACAAATTAATAAAAATTAATATTACATATTATATAAACAACATATAAAGTTTTCAGAAATAAACACAGGTTTTTTTTAATATCAAATCTTCATTAAAATCTAATTAAAAAAATGATTAAATCTGACCAGATCAAATTATATCTAGTAAAAAATACTCAGATATGACTTCTCATATCTGTGCAGATCTGATCATATATGTTTATTTGTAACCATATATGGAGTATAAGCTGATCTTTGATGTCTCATGTTTGCTCAGATCTGGTCACATACTAATGTTCATATATAACTATATATGAAGTGTACAACATCTATTGACCAGATACATGTCATATATGTGCATTAACTATACGTGTATTAACATTCGGTGTTTGTGGACTCAAAGTAGCAATTCCTATACAATAGTAGAGATCAAGCAAAGATGCAATACAGCTTAGAATGGATGATTGCTTGAGAGCACGATATAAAATTAATTCTCGAATTCAAACAGGAAAAAGTTTTTTTTAATCGTAATTTTGTCGTGTGTAGTGTGGAATATGATACTAATTAATAATACTCATTTTAGCAATAAAATTGAATTAATTAATGTTATATGAAATATTTTTTATTAAGGTTGTATCTGATTATATCTATTCAGATCTGGCCAGATAAAGACAATTTGCAGATTTGGTCAGATCTGTTGAAACTGATATGATCATATCTCGATAGATCTAATTCTTTTTTCCCGAGTATCTATATGTGATATTTTTCATTTTGCAATATAAGTTATTAAAAAAAGAATGATATAACAAAGCAATAAATATAAAGTGTATTTAGAACTATATGTACATACTAGAAATTATTGAGATTCTTGAACTGATATTCATTGTCGGTTCTTATATTTAAGATCATCTTGAGTATAATCTTTAGATATCATAAGTCAATCACAAAATAGTATTAGCATGTTAAGACATTAGTTAAAATGGTCTTGAAAAAAGAACAGACTATGAATATGGCCTTTACTCTCATATATATTCATAGATATATGTGTAAATATGTTAATCACATATGGAACTATACCTAAATAGAAGAGTTCGTAAAAAAAAAAGAAACTCTTCTATGTACTTGCAGAGCTCTATAGAAGAGGATTTTTATCAAAAAGGACAGAAAAAATAGAGAAGAGATGAAAAATAAATTCAAAGTGTATATAGGATTGTCTGGTATGTGTATGTGCCATCTGTGTAACACATGTCCATACATGACACTGGAAACATCATATTGTATCTCGGCAAGACCAAAGGCTGCAAATATATGGGGAAGCTATGCAGGTGCTCGTGATGGAACGAGAGTCTTTCCTTGAAGAAAAATTTGAACGGGAATGCTCCGTGGTGTGTACACAGAATGAAAATCGGAAATAGAGCCAAGATGCCGACAAGCGGAGCACGTGGACCGGAGACGTTTGAGTCGTGCCGAGAACACGCTAAAAGTAAACTCACCCTTCGATATAACTGCGGTCAGAGAGGTAAGTGTTGAGGTCCTCAATACCCTTATCAGTCTTCAGGTCACCGACAGCCATGGCGAGAAGGTGTTCCGGGTGAATAAATAGTTGACCGTAAGTTCTTAACGAGACAGTAATAGAGACCCCTTCGTCTGATCGCCGAAACTACCGAAAGAGAGAGCTGCGCGCGGTGAGGGCCACCGCGGCCGGATTCGACCCGGTTCGTGTAGCTCGATTTGAGATAAGCCGCGTGACGTTTGTTCCGGGATGTCTTCCTTCTTCGAACTCAGCTTGAAGAAGGATACGATGGCGCCTGGGTCGAAGCTAGAGTCATGGTGGAAATACGTAAGGTGAGCTATTGCGCATAATGGCGGTAGCAATTACTG